AAAAAATATTAAAAAAAAAAAAAGAGTGCTTGGCACAGAAGAAGCACAACAGCTTCAGTATCAACCATCATCAGCACCGCCACCAACGTTACACAAAGCAATCAGGACAGTGCACAGCTCACAATAAATGTCTGGTAACTGTCACAAATCACACCCACCGGGGATGGCAGCGGCTTCCACGGTCTTCCTAATTATCAGTGCACTCAAATTACGAGCACACTCACCTACAGGTCTAGCCACTGGCCACTTCTCTAGCTGGGCCTGCAGACTGAGCATAAAACACAACAACGGATAAACCAGCATGGCAACTCACTTTGATGCCTCTTTGCAATGAGAAATGCACAGATTTGTACTTGTTTCCACTTGTACCGTAAAGCATTTCTTTGGGGTTGTGAATGCTTGAGATTTAGAAGACACGTAAATTTACTTCATAGCATGAAAAACTTGGCAATGAGACAGGTTGAGTTTTTCTAAAAATCATTCCTGTTTCTGGGAAGCTGCACAAGTGGAGAGGCCTGGAATGCAGTTCTCCTACTCCGATACCTGGGAGGAGACCCTGCTCGCTGGGGTTCCATCTGCGGACAATGCCGCAAGAGGAGGTGAGCGCAGAGCCCCAGGGAAATTTTGCCGAGGCCACTTGCATCCCTGCTGCTGCCAAGTTTCAGCCACTCGCGCCAACGGTGACTCAATGTGCTTAACAGGCCTGATCAAATTATGTTCTCTCTGTGGGTCTTACCATAGCAGAAAGTGCACCGCTGGAGTCTCTCTAACGTTGGCGTGTAGTCGGTCCCGGATGGAACCATTATTACTTGGAATGTGCCAGTGTCATCAATCTGCAAGAAGCAGAAGCAAGAGAAAGAACAGCTTAGTGGGCGGGGCTGCAAGAACCTCCCGGCATTGTTCAGAGCACTGAGATCTTCTGAGTGAAATCACAGAATGCACTTCACAACTGCCTCTGAGTTCTCATTAATGAGCCAGGCGTGGAAGCTGGTGTTGCAGACCCAGTTCCACATCCAGGCAGCTCTCCTCTGAACCCCTTCCAATTTAGTCCCATTGTCAGTAACCTCCCTGGGGAGTTTGAGACTGGAGAGCAGGGAGAAAATAAGGAGGCTTCAAATAATGAAGAATAATTAGCTTGTCAGTTAACCGATTCACAGATCCATTGACAGCTGAGGGAAAAGTACAGGTACAGTCGTATCTAATGCCTGAGAGATGGGAAAGACATTTCCCTACTGTTTCTCAGGGAAGTTTCCTGCCCATACTTTATCCACGAAGGTAGCACTTTGCCAGCCATGTTTAAGTGGGGGAGACTCCATCACTCTGCAGAGCAGACTGCACCTCTGAGCCAATCAGATCCATCCTCTCAGGAATTTGGAAGTGGGGCCCTGAGAGCAGCGAGTCCCTCTATGTTGGTGGCAAACACTAACAGAGCTGTAGGCTGGCCATGTTCTATCTGAGGAGCGATGGGAAGGAAATGAAGGAAGTGGGCAAGAGGAAGGAAGTGGCGCTCTCCCCGAGGCTTAGCTTTGTTTCTGCCCATCTTTTATTCTGTGTAGAAGGGATGGAGAAATCTGTGTTCACCAGAATTCCTCCCTAGAAGTTAGAATTCTTTATGGGCAAGTCAAATTTCACCGGAAGTAAGAGGCGGTTGCCAAGCACAGTTAGAGGGAAAACCTTCATGGCAAAACAAAGCTGAGACTGAGGTTTTCCCGGTAAAAAAAAAAAAAAATGGCCTTCCATTTCAGAAGGGAGGACTAGCTCATCACTCAGCTTGATACCATTATGAGAAATTTCCAAAAGGGAGGGAACAGTCCATGTGCTAAGGATTGTAGGGCTATCAGTGCATGTTATCAGAGCATCTGCTTCCAAGTCCTGCTGCATGTGCCTGCACAGGTCCCAAATTTCACACTGGACTGCTGAACTATCAGACAAATCAAGATTTAGAAAAGCCATGATAATTATGAATAAACTAGGGTTTTAAAAGATGGCCCCCAAGTAAAAATTCATTGCCACTAAATTGCTGAGTTCTGTTCTTAAAATAATAAATTACAGTTCAAGTATAGGGACGTACATCCGAACAGACAGAAGAAAGAAAAAGAGGGCAAAAGGAGAAGTAGTAACATAATTTCCTTTCTGTAACACCAGGTAATGGTACTGGGTTCTCACAAACTTGTATACATGCCTCCATTTTTAGCTTTTCTACACAACCCTGTTTAGCTCCATCCTCTAAAGGTAGCTCCATGAGGGTGAATCTACTGGTTTTCCATTTTACTCTTATATCTCCGTAGGGTAGGATAGCACCTGGTATATAGCAGGTGCTCACTAAGCATCTGCCAAATGAATGACCCTTGGCCACAATTCTGACTTCTGTTTGCATCTCTAATTCTTTGTCTACTCAAGAGGTGTTTGGAGCTAATGCTGATCATATTTAGGTGGGTCATTGTCAAGAATCTGAACTTCATTGGCGCTCTTTTGAGATAAATTCCTTCAAGATAGGAGCAAAGATGGGGTGCCTGGGTGGCTTAGTTGGCTGAGTGTCTAAATTTGGCTCAGGTCATGATCTCACAGTGCATGAGTTAGAGCTCTGCATTGGGCTTGCTGCTGTTAGTATGGAGCCTGCTTCAGATCCTCCGTCCCCCCTCTCCCTGTTCCCATCCCCTGCTTGCTCTCTCTCTCTCTCAAAAAAAAAAAAAAAAA